CCTTGTGTTGGTTCACGTGTGTCCACCTGCTACTAACACGTCTCCTTTTTAGGAAAAACTAACATCTCTCTTTGGGAGATGCTAGCATAACAAAATTAAGACATACTGGCCTGGTGCCAGCAGATGTTTTTTCTTTCCTTTTTTTGATGTTTTTCTATAGAGAAACTAGGTTAGTGTGGAAGATGGAGGTTAAAATAAACCATGTTGTTTATTTATCTTCAAAAAAATATGAAGGGACAAGGCATGATTGGGAGGGTATCTTCAGAAATCATATACCTGATATGAATCTAATAACCAAAATATCCATAAAACTTTGACAACACAAAGACAAATACCCCAACCATGAAATAGGAAAAGGACTTAAGTAGATATTTCACCAAAGAGGACATTCAAATGGACACCAAACACATGAAAGGAAGCTCAGTAGCATCAGTGATCAGAGATGCCAATCAAAGCCACAATGAAATACTATTTCATTCCCACTAGGATGCCTAAGATTAAAAATGAAACAAAAATACAAATAACAAATTTGATCAGATATGAGGAACTGGAAACCCTTATCCTTTGCTGATGGAGATGCAAAATGGTAACAGCCATTGTGGGAAAATAATGTGGTAGTTCCTAAAAAAAAAAAATTAAAAGCTTTTAGGACCCAGCAATTCCACCCCCAGATAACTAAAGCAAACTCACGGCCATTGAGTCCATTCTGACTTATCGGGCAGGTTAGAACTGCCCCTATGGGTTTTCCAAGGGTGTGGCTCTGTGGGAGAAAGCCTTATCTTTCTCCCACATGGTGGCTAGTGGTTTCTAACTGCTGAATGGTGGTTAGCAGTCCAATGTGTAACTACAGTGCTGCCAGGGCTCCTTCCATTATTCTTGAAAGCAGACTGCAGACACTGGTATATCCAGGTTCACTGCAGCACTACTCATAATAGCTACAAGGTGACAACAATCTGAATGCACATCAACAGAGACGTACATAATCAAATTGCGGGGCATATATACAGGATACCACCACTCAGCCAGTAGGAGAAATTAAAGCATGATCTATGATACAATATAGATGCAGCTGAACATTAGATTGAGTGAAATAACTCAATCACAAAAGATCAAATATTGTATGACCTCACTTATAGAAAAGGACAGGACAAAGCACATGCATAGAGAACAAAGTTCATTCATGGCTACGAAGAGCATGAAAGTGGGGGTTCATGGTGACGGAAATGTCAACTTCAGGGGGTGTACAGCTGAGTCGTACACCTGTAAAAGGGTGAACTGGGGGAGGGGGGAGTAAAATATTTAAACCACGCTTCTGATCCTTGATGAGACAGACTATTAAGCTGTTGTAATGAGTTCATTCTAAGAGGCAGTCTGGATATCAGTATCCATAAAACCAGGGAATGAGGATGCAAAGACCAAACACGGCCTTTACAGCAAGATGTTGGTTCACATTACATGTGTCATGGGAGCATGCTTATAGAAAAGAAGGTTATCACAAAGCTCAGTGTAAGAACCTCATTTCAAATATTAAAAATGTTTTCCTGGGGGTGGGGCTAAAAAACTTTCCTGGACTGAATCATCAGAGCCCAGGCTGCCGCGACCGTGATTTGGTGTCATTTTAGAAACAGTATTACGACAAGCAATTGAGGTGCTCACCATCAGCAAAGATTCTGAGCCAATGCAAGATACAGTCATTGTTTGATTTCTGGAAAAGACTGGCGGCTTCTTGATGCAATCCAAAGGGAAAGTTTCTTTTAGACCTTGGTGTCAAGAAATGGAATTCTGCACGACTGGCTTTTTAGACACTGTAATCTCTGTAACTGACCACATTACTTTCTCTTTTATTGTGGTCTCCGGGCATCAGAGCTAAATTGTGGCCCAAGTACTCACACATTTGGGGGGGGGGGGGCGAATTAACTTCTTTGGGTGTTAGTTTTACCCAGAAACCGTATTTCCTCATTTAAAAGGTAAAATAAAATCTTTTGTTTTCTCATGTTTTGGGATCATTGTGAGGTAGAAAAAAACCAATTATAGTTATTGGAGGGGAAATAAAAGACTATTTGAATTTCCACTCATACCTGGCTAAAGTGCTCCCTGGAATTAGGAAAAGGCCCTATACCATGGGCCAGTGATTGTCCCAATAAACCTCAAAAATCACTTGTAGCTCATTTGCCAGGACAGAGCTACTCTTTCAGTCCTCCTTTTCAAATCTATGAAGTCCTTGGGTGGTACCATTGGCAAAGCACTCAACTAACTATAAGGTTGCAGTCCAAACCCAGTCAGAGAAGCCTTGGATGACAACCCTGGTGATCTTTTGAGAGGACACATAGTGTTGCCCCAAGCTGGAATAAGCTGGTAAGTAGGTTTAATGCCAAGTAGATGGATAGATGACTACATTCCAAGTCCTCACTAATTCTAGATATGCAAGGCCATTCAGGGGTTTGAATGCTTTGAAAAAAGACCAAGAAAAAGGTCACTACCCTAAGACCTATGGAGCCAAATGTGTGCTCCTCCTCTTTGACAATCAGGTAAAAGCTGAAGATCCTGAACACTATACTGATCGCCAACTTGCATTCAGTTTCCACCGACTCATTGCCATTCAGTTGCTGCCAGCACATAGCAATCCTAAAGGACAGGCTAGAACTGCCCCCCC